AGTCGTTTACACCGCCTGAAAAAGAAATAGTTTATAGCGCGCCATTATTGAGAGAGATATAATATTAACGTGTAATAAAAGATTGTGTTTCATTTATCTTTAACTATGGCTTCTGTAAAAACAATTCAAATGTATTTTTTTACATTTGCGGACAATATACAATAGTTAAGCAAAGATTGAATATAACAGACTTTGTAAAAAATGCTTATTAAGCTTTCTTCAGAATGAAGTTGTGTCACCAAGATAAACACTGGGTTACGATAAAATATGTGTTGAAGTGTTTAGACAGTGGACTTATGGTAAATCAAAATCATTGTTATTCGGTATTTCTGTCCAAATTAGAATGCAACTGGAAGTCGGAGTGAAAAATGTCATCAATACGAGTTTGAAAGAAGAAAACAGTTTGTAAAGGCATTTCGACTTGACCAACAGTGATTATTTTATGTTTAGATATCGAGGTCATGATTTATATAGGTTTTAAACATATAAAAAAATCGTAAGGTCACAAAAAAATACTTTTTTAATTTTAATTTTTAAGAAAAAAGTCAATTCAAAAACACGTTTTTTTGTTTATTTTCGATTTTTCCATGCTTTAATATTGTTGGAGGTATTTTTAATCAACACCATCGAAAAGAGCATCGTTAAATACTTGTTACATCAACAATACTCTTTCGATTATCGAAAGCGTTTTAAATATTAGAGCAGATATATTTTGTGTATTTTACTATAACTAAGGCGAACTTAAGGTAATATTAAAAAAAAAAGTAGTTCCTGTTTTTTTTTAAATATTCATCAAATTCTATTGTTTACGGAATATTTACTATATATATCATATAATTAAGTGTTCTGTTTCCTCATTTTTATAATAAATAAAATAATTGAAAATAGTAGTCTCGATTAATTCCTATAATATCCTTTTAATGTCAGTCTCATTGAAACTGGATCGGTCTTAAAGTTTAGCATGTACAGAGAAAATTGTTTGAGAATTGTTTGTGTCTTAATATAGTAGGGACGATCAAAGTTGGCATAGTCAAAAATAACTTATCTGTGAAAATGGATGTATATTCTTTCTTGTTTCTATTTGGGACTGTAGTCATTTGCTGCGGCGTGAATACGCCCTTGTTAAGTTAAGAAATGCTTCATGAGTACTACAAATAAAGTGAAAAAAAAAATAAAATAACAGTACCTAAGTGACGCGGCTATTAGAATTTGTTTAGGTACGCAAAAGATCAGGGTCGCCTTTATAATTGTCTGCTTGGAATTATATCTTTAAACAAGCGTAAATTCCTAAATTTCTGAGAATCTTAAACTTTCTTTAAAGTTGGATTCTGGCAATATACTCACATTCTGCTTGCCTGCATCTTATTCTGTTACACATTAATTAGTGTTCTGTATTATTGTCCGCTGCAATTCCTATCTGATATCTCTTTTCTATGTTTACGATATTTCCTACAACGTCTATCGTGAGTAAAAATCAGCAACTGCTCTCGTCTAGTTAGTAAGTTGAAAGAAGAAAGTATACTTCGTTTAGTTTCTCTATCGATGTGAGCTTTATCTTGACCGGCGCAAAGTAGAAAAGAACAGCGCTAGGCCAGAAAAAGAAGGAGACAACTCTCGGCCAAATTCTCAACCGGTGAGGAGCGTATAATCCGTACAGTACTGCACGGAAAAATTGACCATTTTATCCACTAAAATTGCATTGCTCGAATGTGCTGTTATTGGTACCAATTACTACTGAAAATATCAACGAAATGTTTGTTTATATTTGAAGACATATTAAAGGCTTTAACGCTTGTTTTCGACTCGCACTACTATTCATGATTGAACAAAACTTTTGGCAGGTACTGTATGAAAAAGTATGTTTAATGAACAAGAGTCGAGAGTATAA